AGCTGACGCTTTAGCGCCTTATTTCCTAAAATGTTATTCCCATCCAAGGTGGACTGCAGTTTCGACCACGCCTAGGTATTATCAATACTCTCAGCGAGACTCGGACCATGACAGTTCAGCGAGTAGTCTCGACACGCTAACCACTACACCACATTGCCAAGAGTGCCCTTGATTCACAGGGCAGATGTGAAACCCATACATATCACATTATTTGCTGGGATCGCTAATGAAGCAAAGTTATATTTGCAATTACAATCGACCACATTTGTTCTTCCTTGACTCATTCTTCTAAAAGCCTCACGTTACCATTAGCTCAAGCAGAATATGATATGGGAAAAGGCATGGACTCCCTTGAAATTCACATATGCCCTGTGACTCAAGGGCAATCGTGGCGGTGACGTAGTGGTTAGCGTGTCGAGATTACATCATACACTCTTATGGTTCGACTTCCACTTGAGGTGTTGATCAGACCTAGGTGAGATCGAAACTGCAGTCCGCCCTGAATAAGAAAGCCTTTAGGGAAAGTAAAGCTATGGAGTTCAATGTAAGCGTCAGCTCTACTCATATCATTATAGGAAATTCAACTACCTGTATTTAATCATCTTAAACGAAATAGGGTGAATACATCCCATATAACTGATTTAGTGATAGTTTTTAAACCCCACATATAAGCGAAAAACTAAATATTTTTTGATATTTTTCATTATGCTAATAAACCTTTTTTAATCATTTGATGTCTGCACTTTAGGGGAAATTGATTTGGCAGGAGGTGACGTGATTCGCAAACATCCCGAGGCTTCTACTATTTTCCTGTCCAATTCTTTGGGGGATGAGGAGAACAGCGATCCATCAGTGGCAAATGCCGATGAGCCTGGTGAACTCTCCAATAACCCTCATCATATCCACGACCCACCATTTTCTAGCTCTGTGAAGATCAACAATTGCAATGCGGCTTCGCAGGTATGTTTGAAAAGAAATTTTTGTTAGTCATCTCTATTAGGTGACTTAAAAATTTGGAAATTGGTTGAGGAGCTAGGGCCTTTGAAAATTAGGGCAGACAGAATGCAATTTTGTCTATCAAGCTGAATAAAGTTTTTGATAAAGAGATTCGATCGTCGATCATACCATAAGACGATACCTCTTGGCCAGCTGTCGATTGGCTTTACTTAAACATTCTTGTTGGCACAGTTTCCGATGTAACCTTCTTTGATTTTGGTGAAAACTTGTTTTGCTTTGCTTTCGTCCGTCATATGACAGACATCAAAGCAATGTATCATTCTTGCAAATACATTATATTATAGCAATCTGACTTGGATACTGGATGAAATTTATCTATGAAATTCGGTGTAACTGAAAAGATGATGGCAGAACGGGGACTATGGACAAACAGTAAGGACGATGAAAGATTCACAAAGGTGGATATTCCTACCTTCCTGAGAACTAACTAAAAAACCAGACCAATATTGAGGAAATGGAATATTCAGGTGGCCATGAAAGAGAAATCAACACTTTTCACAAGTCTACCGACGCAAATTGAAAGGGTTGATAAATTTGATTGTTCATGAGTTTAGCGTATATCATGCTGCACCTGCGAACAGAAATATACTGGCGAAACAGGGAGAAAAATTGGTACATGAAAATGGATATAGAAATATCAGAATTAGCGGAACACATCGCACAGACTGGACACGAGATAAATTGGAGGACAACAGACAGAAGGGCCCCATACGGTGACAAAACAAGGAAGTGGAAGATTAGAAAGGCCGTTGACATCATTGGGGAGAAAAATTTAATCAACAGGAGATTGGAGGAAGGTAGACTTAACGATAAATTTGATTACTACTTAAACAAACTCGTGGAAAACAAGAATAGAGCAAGGACAGCAAAAAGGAGACGCCTGCATCAAGAATCTGTCGGAGGAAAAGGGATCAAGATGAAGAAAGTGGGGGGCATGGGTGTCTTGGCAATCAAGAAAAGACGTTGTCAATGCGTGAAGTCAGTCTGAATAAACCAGTACAATTTTGGGGGCCTGGCAGTCAGGCGCTGGGCAGACGGCTAGGCAAACCGTTACGGAAATTCGGCGTTATAGTTAAATTATACCAGAAATCCACTTGAGGATGCCGCATGCGACCAGAGATAGGCGTCCACAGTTTGCTCAGGTAACATGGGTTTAATCAAGGAGAGGACCCGTGAAGGGAAGACCTGATATCTGCAAGTATGACAATCAGAGCTTAGGCGTTCTGCTCAGTGCGGCGGCAGCGTACGTGCTTTTAGGGCCTTGAGAAAGTGCCTGGAGTGAAATGCACACCGGGACTGGAACCGAGTAAAATCGGTCAACCACTCAGATAAAGAATGGATCTGCGAGACAATGAGGGGTTCCGGATTGGAGGCCCGAGTCGGATCAGCCGATCGAAAGAGACGGGGTCGGGGTGAATAGCAACTGTGATGAGGCCACACCATATTTGCCACAAACGGGCACACATTTTGACGAGTGGAATGTAAACAAGTGAAAATTGTGATAGGACGGGAGTTGGATAAGAGGGTAAAGAGTAGATAGATGGGCTAGGACAGAAAGAGGAGTGATAGTGTAACCGTTTTTGGCAGAGTGTTATCGAGGGGTTGACTTCACTTGTCTCTCTGATCAGTTCGTAGCTTGGTGCGG